GGTGTCGCTGGGTATCGGCGATGGACAGCTTCATGTCGGCCGTCTTGAACGCCGCCCACCTTTGTTGGAACCAGGCAGTCAGTCAATCCCTGGTGCACCACGTGTACCAGATTTTTTTCAGGAGTCATGAAAGTCTTACCGTTGGTGCGCAGCAGTGGCGGTGACCGCGTCCTTGATCTTCGCCATGACCGACATCTTGTAATTGGTGATCGTTCGGTGCTTCTGCTCCACATTCACCAGCCAATCCTCCATCTGGCGAAGGCAAGGCGGAGAGGGCGCGATCAGACCACCGCTTTTGTGGAATAAGGAGGTCGCATGAGGACTGCCCGTACCTGCGCAAAGGCCTCTGCCAGCTCCCAGACCTGCGCATACTCTTTCGCCTGCGCCTGGTGGTTGTTGGGCGCGACGTCAAACACGGTAGGCAGTGGTAAGTATACCACAACGGGAGACGTACGAGGGTGGAGAGGTAGTAGGCCGCTTCGGAGAGCTTGGGCACGGGGATCTTGAACAGCTTCTCGAACTCGGCAAAGCTGGTCATTGGGAGTACCAATTAATGAAACGTTCAGCCGAGCAAAAGGAAACAGTACACGTACTCTTTGGGGAGAACCCCGCCACCTGCAAGAGCTGCGCCTTCCATTGTAGTCACTGTTCGGGTTGTGTTGTTTGCCCCCAGCAGACTTAGCTTTTTACTTTGTTTTTTCAGCAGGGAAATGAAATCCAAGAAAAAGATCGGATTGCGTGAATGGTCGTGTGCGTTGTTAGGGAACGAAAGCAAACAGAACAAGGGGGGGGGTGGAGCATGACGATCATTATGTCTGGATGTTCTGGAAGTAGGCGACGAGGCACAGGTTGTGGTGGAACAGGCTCTCCAACCGCGCCCACGACTGCCGCTGGGCTTCCCGCAGGCGCTTGAGGTCGTTCTGCAGATGCTCTTGCTCCACCATCACCTCACCGTGCGCCTGGTGAAGAAAGTAAGGTCAATCAAGATACATTTATCATCAGCATCGGTTGTTGACGTTCACCATGAAGTGATGTTGGTGAGTGAGTGAGTGAGTGAGTGAGTGAGTGAGTGAGTGAACAATACCTTGAGAACGATGTTGATGTAGGCTTGGATGTGACCAAAGTCCTTGCCCGATTCGAGTTGGTGCACGAGGAAATCGACCACCAGTCGGAGATCGTTGGCGCCGTTCTCCAGGTTGATGGTCTTGAGCTCCACGTCGACGCCCGAGGCCGACTGGCCGCGGAGGTGGTCCATGGCCTCGTCGTACTTGGCCTCCTCGAGCAGCAGGATGAACTTGGTCTTGGGCACGAGCTGCGACATGTTGAGGATGCGCGACCGCACCTGGCCAGCGTCCTTGTCGTTGCCCTCCTGCGTGGGGATGAGGAACTTGGGCTCGAGGCCCGACACCACCGGCAGCAGGAAGGGCGCCATGGCGGGCTTCTTGGGCGGCGCGATGGGCTTGTTCCTCTCCTTGATGGTGCTCAAATTGGGCAGATTCTGCCACTGCACGCTGCCCTTGCCCATGGTCACGAGCCCCTGCTTGAGCTGCTCCTCGGGGAACTTGGCGACGGTGTCGGCGCTGACGGTCTCCATCTTGTCGTCGTCGCTCTCCTTGCCGGCGAGTTCGCTCTCCTGCTTGTCGGTCTCGTCGCCCTCCTCCGAGATGACGTTGGGCAAGTGCGCGAGCGCAGGCGATGCGGCCACCGGACGCAGGAGCACCTTCGAGAAGTACATTTCATTCGACCTGCAGGCACGCGTAGCCCAATCGTGAGCCGCAAGTCACACACACACACACACGGCGAACAGCAAACCTACCAGAGGAAGATGCCCTTCTGGCCTGTGTGCGCGGTGGCGAGGAAGTCGCCGACGGGGGAGAAGCTAAGGGAGACGACCGGCGAGGCCACCGAGAACCAATCGATGAGCATGGCGCCGGGCACGTCCCACACGCGCAGGGTGGCGTCCATCGACGCAGTGACCAGCAACCGCGCGTCGGGGCTCCAGGCCATGTCCGTGATGGCGTGGCGATGGCCGGCGAATCGACGAACAACGCGTCGCGACTCGATGTCGATCACCCGGACGACGAGATCGTCGCACGCCACGGCGATGAGTCCGCTCTCCTTGACAATGGCGAGGTTGGTGGCGCTCGAGCCGAGCGCGATCGAGCCAAGCAGCGTGGGCTTGGAGGAGAACTGAGAAAATTTCACGATGCCGTCGAGCGAGATCGAGATGAGGGTCGAGTTGAGGAAGTCCACGGCGAGGCCGGTCACCGGGGCACGATGCTTGGGAAACTCCGCACGCAATTTACTCGACTAGAAGAAATGAATTTGTGAAACAAATGAAACGTTAGCGAAACGCGTTTCACCAGAGTTGGGGGAAAATAGAAAAAAGAAAAAGATGGAGTTGTTGGGGTGGTGGCCTGGCACCTGAAGGTTGAAGGAGCTGATGCGGCCGTCCTTACCGCCGACGATGGTGTAGTTGCCGCAAGTGCTCACCGCAACGGTCTAGCCAGTGGGTTTGGTTAGGTTAGCCAATCACCTTCAACGTTGACCTGCGTTACGCAAAGGAAGCTGAATGGGGGGTTCAACGGCCGTACCGATGGCGTCGAGCGTGGTGTGCGGTAACTATTTTTCCCGAGGACGTAGCGGTGCGTGTTCCATGCCCGAGCCACGGTCTCCTCATCGCTGAGCGTGACCAGATTGTCCCAGTCCTGCTCCTTTGCGGGTGCTGTGGGCAAATGAGAGATGTGAAGACGTCAGAGAAACAAGCTGCCACCACCGAACATGCACAACAGATGACACAGAGGCGGTCGTACAGGAATCAAAGTGGAAAATGGAGGGCAGCTTGAGCTGGTGCTCGCTCATCCTCAAACGCTTGGCCGACTTCTTGAGGTGACCCTGCGACAGCTCGCGCGACTGCTGCTCCTGCACTGTCGAGAAGATGCGCAGTGAACGGTCCGAGCCGGCCGACACGATCACGTTGCCGGCCTTCGTGCCGTCGCCGTAGTAGCGGATGCGCCGCGGCGGCCGCGAGTGGCCGGACCTCTCCCGCAGGAGGCGCGGCTTCTGGTCGGCGTGGTCGAAGATCCACATCTTGATGGCGTTGTCGGTGCCGCTGGTGATCATCACCGGCTGCTCGGGGAGGAATCGGGCGGCCACGACCGGCCCCTGGTGAACGTCCTTCATCACGGCGATCAGCTTCTTGCCCTCGAGGTCCCACACCGTGACGCGCCCGGCGTCGGTGGCGGCAGCGAGGACCGAGGGGCCGTCCGTGCGGAAGGAGATGGACGTGATCTGCGCGTCGGGCACCGTGAATGTGAAGAGCGTTGTGTCGAACCGGAGGTTGTGCATGATAATGCGTCCGTCAGCCTGTTCAACAGAATCCAGAAGAAGAATGGCGATGAGATGAGTTCTAAGTGTTGGTGTGTGTGTGTGTGTGTGTGTGAGAGAGAGAGAGAGACGCACCAGACCCACGCCGATGACGTCGACTGCGGGAGACTGCGCAACGGAGACGATGGGCGAGCCCCAGCCCTTGAAGGCGTAGACCAGCTTCTTCGTCTTCAAATTCCAGAGCTGCATCGTGCCCTCCTGGCTGCAGAACAGCATCTTGTTCAAGTAGGTGGACGGATGGGTCATGCACGACACGTGGAAGCCCTCGCCAAACTCGATCTGGTCTTCGGTCTCCACGGTCGTCAGCTCGCCCTTGGAGGCGATCTTGGTGCACTGGGACATGTCCCAGATCTTCAACACCGAATCCCGGGACACCGAGAGGAGGTGGTCGCCGAAGGCGTACAGGTGTGTGATCGTGGCCTGGTGTCCCTTGAACGTCGCCACCTGAAAGAGAAGCACACCAATTCGAGCAGGCGTCAGTATCACACACGACACACACGACACACACGACACACGCACACGAGAGAGAGAGAGAGAGTCGTACGGCTTTGCCGCGCTTCCAAATGTGGACCAGCGGACCAGCGCCCGTGATGACGAAGTCCTTTTGCATTAGGATGGCCCTTATCTTGCGCTCATGCAGCGGACCTGCGTAGTGACCACGTGGGAGTACGTTGAGGCATTGCAGGTGCGAAGAAGGAGCTGGCGCAAGCAGACTAAGGAGAAGAAGAGGGAGCAGGGGAAGGAAGAGAGGGAAGGCGTACTGACGAAGGAGAGGCGGAGCTTGTCGCACTGATGGACAAAAGAAGCAAAATCAACATTAATCGCACAGAGATTTGAAAAATCGCAATTCGATTAAATTAAGTGGTGGGAGGCGGAGTACGTTGTAGGTGTGGAAATTCTTGCCAAGACTCGTTGAGAGGAAAGTCTCGGCTCCATGATGCTGAAGGGCGAAGGGGATGCGCTCGCCCACGAGCCCCAATGCCCGATACGGCCGGAAGACTTGACTCATATTTATGCAAAAATTAAAATCGCCTCTTCACCAAATAGATCCAAGAAGAAGATGGAGAGCCGAGATGAGAACACCTCCAGAGGGCAGGGAAAAGAATTCAAATGGGATTAAAAAGAGCGAAAGAGAAAAACAGTCCTCCGGCGGTTCTTCCTTTCTTCTCCGGCGGCCAGTTGCACGAAAGCTGCACGACCAAAACCGCACAAACACAGAAATACAATCTCCAAAGATGAGGCGTGCAGCTTGTGCGTTTCGACCTGCTCCCACGCACTCGTTGTGCACGGCGGTCCTCAGCTCCCCTGCAGTGGGGCGCACCCTTGCCACTGTCACCCGCAATGCCAGGCCCAAGGTTTTTATTTAAATTTATTTAGATTAGATTTATTTATTTTTGTAGAGGCTTGGTTGTTCATCGATTGACCAACACACACGTGTCTGCATCTTGCAGTTTGTGTTCCCAGCGGATGGCCTGCCATTGTACACGGCCAACCGGCGAGGCGAGTTCTTGATTCAGGCCGGCGTGGCCGTTATCAGCTGTATGGCCTACGGCACCTACGCCTTGACGCAGTACGAGGCCAAGAAGCAGACCGGCGAGTTTGTTGGTTCGTCCGACACCGTCACCAAGGTGGCTATCGGTCTCGGTGCCTTCTGCGTAGTGACCACTCCGCTCTTCACCTGGTACACCACCCACCAGTGACATCTGCGAAAGTTGAACACGCCAGGGCTGACCACAACGACACCGTTTGGGTGGCCGCCGTCTCAGGGCAAGCACAAGGCGAGCAGTGCGGCGATTGTGGGCCGTTCCCAGGTCGGCCAACACCAACGTGGCCTCGGCACTGCGAGTTGAAACGCATTCGTTCTTCGGAGGACCTGGCAAGACAGTACGTCCCACCACGAACGCACATAACAGAGTACGCTCGCTCACCATCATCAACCTGACGTGTTGTCCTGCTCTACGCGCGCAGACCGACGTTCAAATCTCTGAGATTGTGCCCGTCGGTCATATCAACCCCGCAGAGCGTCTTGTTCGGTACCTTGACACTCTCCAATGCGATCATCATTTCGAGCACTTGCGCCAACTCACTACTATTGGCACTGGCTTCAGGTTTCAGCTCAGGGATAACAAGCTTTTCGTGATGGTACGCACACTTTGGTGCCATAACTTCTTGCGTTGTGCACTGACATCGTGCTTTCTCTCTTGCTCTTCATCAGACGCGCGACCGGGGAGAGTTCCACAATGAGGAGGCCCTTCAGCGCTTGCTCAACAACAAGCCTGTAACCTTCTCTTGACCGACTCCGTCAAGCTGCGCCTCACAGCTTATTTTTGCACACGTCTCTTTGGCTGCATGCAAAGAGCTTAACACTGACCGCAATCAGCGATGACAACGTCGACCTTGGGGCTTCCATCCGCAGACGCTGCCTCCCGGTTGATCCTAGAAGTAGAAACGAAGCGTTTGAGAAGAGGTCAGTGGAAGCGGAGAGCATCATGCCGATCGTTGGGTACCTGTGCAGAATGTCAACACCCTCGACGACCTGTCCGAACACGACGTGCTTGCCGTTGAGCTTGGTGAGGTTATCCGCTAGCGTGAAGAAGAACTGCGACGAGTTTGAGTCCTTTCCTGCATTGAGGAACGCCATTACGGCGGTGAGACGGTGCACAACACAAGACACTGTGCGAGGCATGAAGAGGCGGAACCTGAGTTGGCCATGGAGAGAGTGCCGACGGCCTTGTGGAGGAGCTTGAGGCCGTCCTTCTCGTCCTTGAACTTGCGACCGTAGATCGACTCACCGCCCGAGCCGTCGCCACGAGTGAAGTCGCCACCTGGACGAGGGAGTAGCGGGTGAGACATTTGGTGGAGCAAGACCAGGCCAGATCAGACCAGAGTGAGGCCTCACCTTGGCAGACAAAGTCTTTGACGATTCGGTGGAAGCGGGAGCCCTTGAAGTGCAGAGGCTTCTTGCTGGCCTTAGAGATGCCCTTCTCGCCCGTGCACAGAGCTAGGAAGTTCTCCACCGCTTTGGGCGCCTTGTCTGCGTAGAGCTGCAGGGGGGAGAGAACATCATCACGATGGATCAGCCTGAGCTTCATGTACGAACAGGGACCCTGGTGGCTGGCCCAAGTGCTGCGTGTTGTCCCTGGCGGAAACTCACCTCGATAACGATGCGGCCTGCTCGGAGAGGAGTGGGGGCCGCTGCGCGCATGGGACCGTTCGCTGTCCACGACGGGTCGGCAGCGTAGAGCTCGGCTAACGTCTCGCGCTGGCCCTCGTCAAGCTCCTTCCGGCACGTGAGTATTGGAGCTTTGGGGGGGGGGGTAGACGTACGTCGTACCTGCAGATTTGTAGGCAGTCCATACTGCGCGCCCACCGCGGCGAGGAACTGGGCAGCTCGCTGGTACTCCTCCACCTCCACTGCGTGCTGCTGGGCCGAGCCAATATCCACATCCACAAATGCTCTCTGCATGTTTATTTTTGTAGTCTTATATTTTTTAATCATCCATTTGCTGAAATGCTATTTCTTTGGCGCATTTCTTTGGATCTCGGGGATATCAAGTGCGGTGGAATGCAAGGCATCCAGCTCTTTCGTTGCGTTGCGACTTTTCGTCGGCACAGCAACAAGAAAGAAGAAGACGACGAGGTTCGGTGTCCAAGGTTCGTCTGGTGGCCCGCAAACCAAGTTCTTTGTGAAGACACGCACCAAGCAAGAGCCGATCGGCACCTCGTCATCAGCTGGTGCGGCTCCCATTTCTTTTTTCCAAATCATGCACACAAATTATGTACTACATGTTATGATTGTCGGTAGCGTCACCAAGAGCCGCTAAACGCCCGCCACGCCATCTCGACCAGCCTTCATACATGTAACTAAGGACTGATACAATACCCAACCATGTTTGCTATACTACAGCATCTCCGACAGCACCCAGAAAACCGAGCGAAAGCGAAGCATCGAAGCATTTTTGTGAAGGCGTTGCGAAAAGCGACC